GCTGCGTGGTGCTTAGTTGCTGGTGGGGCTAAACCACGACAGCCTATTACAGTGCTGCAGAGTTACAAGGCTTAGTCTACAATCTGCACAGCCAGTGCTACTGGCCACTTGAAGTCAAGTAAACAGCAGAAGAGAGCAAGCATTGCTTTACTTCAGGATAGGATTTACATGCATACTTACGAGGATACTTCTCCCTGCTTTAATTTGTTGACTAGTTCCAAAAGATTATTTCTTTGCTGCTGAACTGGAAAGAGTTCTTTAGCTGTGAAAACCTGTTCTGGAATTGCCCCATTTCATCTATTACAGAAAAGAACATTACCTACCTCCCTTGGCTTCCAAAGCACTGAGCAATGAGTCGGGTCATTCACCAGGGCTCTGTGTGAGTCCATTAGGGACAGTGGAAATACTATAATTTCCAGCAGCTAGAGTTCTGGTCCTGCATCAAGTTGTAGCCACCATCCTGTTTTCCTGAACACAGCTGTAAAGATTACCATGCACAATAGCTGGTTCCTCCCTTAATTATCAAAATGGTTTTTGATTAAAACGTAAGCGTTCTCTCCCCTCTGAAGTGCTATGTCCACTTCTTGGCCTGAAGCAAAGGTCTTGAAAATGAGCTAGGTTTTATTTATCTCTAAGCAAAGCATTAGAGATATCCTGAGCAGAAAAGGTTCTTTACCACACAGAATGCACACCAGTTGTGACTAACTAATTCCATGTATCTTTGCATTTATTGCTCTTTTAGAGGAAATGTTCATCTAGGCTTAATTGAAAATAAACCAGAAGTGTTCTAAAAGTCATTCAAGTGCACACATTTGCCAAGACAAATGGTTTCTTCATGTAAAACCACTCAGATTATTAGTAGAATCTGTCAACCCAGGAATCTATGTGTCTTGAAAATAATTTTCTGAAATGGAAGTCTTCCTGAGTATTTAGAAAATAACACTGTAGTGATTTTTTTTTTTAAAGCCTCTTCTATGTTTGCAATTCATCAGATATTATCCTTGGGGCTTATGGATCCATATTATACTTATACAGATATGGATGTTCACAGCTGGATATTCACTAATACCCTTAAAAGGATACAAAGAAAATGAACGAGTATCTCAAAGAGACTCAGAAGAGATGCTAAGGGAATTTTCAGAAATGCGGTACTTTTAAAGAAATAAGAACCTAACAGAATAATGCTTGTAATCTTTATTCTGGCAAGACTCATTCTGTTTTAGTAGTTTTTACATTGCATTGGTATCGCTGGTTATAAATGATTACCTGATATCACTCATACCAGACAGATATTGGACTAAATTTTATCTTAGTAGAAGGTGCTGGATTACATTCAAAGATAAAATGTGAATGGAGAATGAAATGGGAAAGATCGTTGTTAGGCTATATCACTTTATTGAGTTGTGCTTTTAAAAGTGCTGTCTAATCAAGTGTCCTTTTTTCTTATAGGTATTGGTTTGCTTTGAAGTATGGCTGCCAAGCTGCATTTAAACAAAGCAGCAGTGGAGATGCATCAGAAACAGACCCTCCCAACTTCATTCAAAAGCAAGCTGTTGATGTAGTGACTGATATTAACATGCTCAGGGTGTTCAAGACTTTTATTGAGACCACACCACAGCTTTTTGTCCAGATTTACATCCTCATGGAACATGGCAAAAATAATTTCTTTCAATGTGAGTCTGCCTTTCTCCTTAACTTGCAAGCTGAGTATCTTAACTAAAAAGATAACTTACGTGATTGGATAACATTTTAAACATACTTTGGAAAACATACACTCCACTGTATAATTACTCTGCATTTAGTTAGAATTTCTGCCTAGTAGATGGTCCGGTCTGCTAAATCCATGAGAAGGAAGATTTTACTATAACAAGTCTTAATATCTAATAAGAAACATAATGATACATCGCTTGAAAATAAGCTATTGCATACAATTAGCATATCATTTGCAGAGCAATTTGTTTTGTAAGTGTTTGTTTACAGTTTCTTTTAAAACTACTAACTGGGCATCTTGAAATCAGTAATGTATTTAGAGTAGCCCTGTGAGCTGTCTCTACCATCGTCCACACGTTACAGATGAGGGACAGAGTCAGAAAAAAACTAAGGATATGTCAGCATTGCAGAATGCAATATGATGAAGAGAGACTGGTTCAACTCTCAAAAGCAAGACAGCAGCTCTACTGTTTCCAGCTCTAAAACTCGCAGCATTGTTGGCAAGATGTTGACTTACCTAGGGTTGGAATTTATCTGACCAGATGGAGAGATCTGCACTGCTGTGTAGTGTTCCTTCATAGTCCATGGAGTCAATAGGTACTCAGACAAAACAGCCAAATGAATCTCGTCTTAAATATCACCAGTCTTAGTTATAAGTCTTAGTTATAGATTTCTACGTTAGAGACACCCCTGAGTCAATATCAGTTGCTGAAACTTAAGTTTTATGGGCTATTTGCAATACTTTGGGAATTTCTAAGTCGTCTGTGTATGGACATGGCAAATATGACACACAACTTAGGCTAGACCGTCAATGGCCAGAGGCTGGGCAGGGTAACATAGACATCACAAACATCATCAGATGCCTAGATTTAGGTAACTAAACTGAGCCTTAAAATTAAGGTGACTTGTTCAGGAGCACAGGGGAAATATAAAATTGGTATAAAGAATGTGTTAAGAAAGCATGAACTTGTCCAAAACTTCTTTCAGAAATTATAATGTAAAATAAGTATATTTTTCTTAGGTTTAACATCTGTCCTTGTGTTTTGTTTAGATGCTGCCATTATTATGTCTTTTTGTGGTATCTCCTTTTCAATGGTTGATTACCAGATATCATTACGAAAATCTCTGCCTGATAAAGATGAATTTCATGTGCTTCCCAAGGCAGTGTATCTCTTCTATAAACTGCTTACCATCACTTCTTGGATACTCAGTATTTCACTGATCACTCTCCTAAGTGTTAAAAGTTCTGTAATTCTGCTGATATTTCTTTGGATCTGTGGCTTCACCTGGACTTTGAAACAACATACGACATTTTGCAAATCTAAGAAGATGGAATACCTGTACAGAACTGTTGTTGGAATAATTCTAATTTTTACCTTTTTTAACATAAAGGGGAGAAAAACAAAAGTTTGCATTTTTATTTATTATGCTACTCACACTGTTGTTTCTCTAGGTATTTTGTTTGTATATATGTTCTGGAAACCTTCCATTATGGAGGAAATACATTTTACAATCGTGAGCATCCTAACTATTCTTAGTCTGGTGTTAGGTATTATTTTTCTTGTTGTTTATTATAGGCATTTTCATCCCACTGCTTATTGCAGACCACAGGCGTGTTCAGATGAAGTTGATGGAGAGGCAGGACAAAAAGGTAGAATGGAAATCGGTAGATTTCAAAATTTCATAATGCAGTGAATAGTATAGATTTTTTTGTGTGGACTTCAAATCAAATATGTGCTGGACAGTCTGTCTCTGTCATTGTTTCTGATGTATCATCACTGAGTATTACATAATGGACCAGAGTTATTGCTCTGAATAACTATTGTTTTCTGCGATGCTATACAAAGCGTTTATAACATGAATATTTCTCTATGTGCTGGTCAAAGTTAGTTTTGAAAAAGAAGCCATTTAATCTATCCATCCAACACAAACCACTGTTTTAGTTTTTAGCAATGCAAATAAAACATAGGAAAAGCTAAAATATAATAAAATGAAAGCTAGCATTAAAAACATATTCTATTCATTTATGTTGATTCTGTTAAAAACAAGGCTTGCTTTTTTTTTCCTTTCTGGCTGGAAGGAAAGAGGAGCACATATGAAATAATTGAGGGCAGTGATCAGTTATCTGCTTCTCCCCATTAGTGTAGGAGCTGCAGCTCTTCTTTAGGTAAGCATAGTTACAAACTGTACTGCCTTCTGCCTAAATATCTCCTAAAGAATAGCAGCTTTGATTTATGGCTCAATGACTGTCTTGCCACAAAGAAATTTGGGGAGATGTTTTCAAGCATTTTATTTTCTAGGTGTTTTAATGACTCTGTTGTTGGTTTTGTTCTGCTAATCTTTCACACATCCTTCTGTATTTAGGGGTGATGCCAGCTTGTCATTTTGGATTATAAATAGCAGCCTGAGTGATTTTCGGATGGCAACAGGAGTCTTGCATATAAAGGAAGAAATATCTTCCTTGAAGCTTTCCTCTCCTTTGAGCTCTAAGACATAATACTTTAAATGCTGGTTGCCACTGAAATAGGAGGCTATGCTAGGTATGCAGTAGTGCAGCTTCTTTTGTCACCAGAGAAAAGAGAAGCATCTGTTCTGATGCACTGCACTCACAGGGGCAGCAAAATGATGGAATAAACAGCTTGTCCATCAAGATTTTTTGGCAGAAGGCAGAGTGAAATTAGACATTTCACTCCTGTGTTCAAATGATAAACCAACAGTGAAGGAACTAAGGTTGATAGCCACAGCTTCTTCAGAAATAAAATTTAAAGGGAAGTCTTTCAGAGCTGCTGGGTTTTAAATCTGAATTATGAAAACTGGGGCTCTTTCTCTCCCCCACTTTCCCTTTCCAATAATTCACATTTGCAGTTAGAGCAGCCACAGGGAGGGAACGGTTTGAGAAAAGAGACAGAGATAAGAAAAACTGAAAAACTTTGCCAGGAACCAAATCTGTTAGCATTATTGATTGACAGAAAACGTCCCTGAAACTTTGGGCAAAGGGCTGATGCTTGGTTGACATTAGGGTACTGAAGAGCTGTGTCCTGTGCCTCTTCTGTCAAGTCCATGGACTGCAGACTGCCTTTTACTTGTTACCCTTCCAGCCTTAGCAGAGCTTAGGGAAGTTTCTAACTGTGTTTCTCTCCTGTTGCATTGCCATAATTCTCTTTACCAGGCCAACCACTTACATCTCCTTAATCCTATTCAAGGAAATGAATTTCTAGATGCATAGCTTGGATTGAATGGTCCGCCTTTCTGGGGATACGCATAAAAAAAGAAGTGTAGCAAGAATTTACCTCTAAGATCCCTCATTTCCACTTAGAGGTAACTAGAATGTGGGTCCAGAAGTTAAGGCATAAAAAAGCACAATCCATGAAATCTAAGCAATAGTTTTCCTAAAATGAATATATAACAGCACCTTCACTTCTCTCTACTCTGGAAAAGAGATTTGTCAGCCCTACAAAGGCTGCATAGTTAAGAGAAAAAGCCCAAGGCTCCATCCTGCTTCATGCACCATGATTGCCCCAAGTTCTGTCTGCTTTATCTACAAAGTATTTATTACTGGTGATGGTGCCCTTGGCAGAAAAATGCATGCTTGGTTTTAAGCTGAATGTACTCTTCTTTTGCTATGAAAACGTAGGTGAAGATTATCCCTATATTGCTTCACACACTTTTATTGTTTGTTCATCTGAAATCCTGAGAAGGGACTAGGGTGAGGTAGGGTGGAAAAGGGAGAATATTATCTCTGACTTACAGAAAATTACAAAATTTTGTCTGACCATTGTTTGGAAGACGACCTCAAACTTTGTACATGATCTGAGAAGCAGGTCTCTAGGGAAATATGAGCTGCTGAGAAGTCCTAGTGTGGGAGTTTCAGCCCTGAGGCCTCCAGGTTGTCTGCCTGCTGCCAGAAATCTGGAGCCTGAGTTGCTCTGGAGGAAGGTTAGTTTCTGGTGAAACAAAAAAATTTGTCTTGGTGATTTTCTTTTCCTTTCAGTGAACTGACAAATTCCAAGTAAAAATATTCCATTGCCATCTCTCTGGCCAACTCCTAACACTCATTTTCTTTCATGGGAGAAAAGCTGGATGTTGTGCTGGCTTCTGTTGTTCTCCTTATGTCTCCTCATTCCATCTTCTGTGCCACTGAGAAGAATGCTGTACTGAAGTTGAGTTGGTAAGAAAGACATGTACGTGGCAATTCATACCACACTAATACAAATACACACCAAACCCAATTACTTCTGTTTCAATCCCTATTTTATGCTTGTAAGTCCTAGTGGATATAAATTTAGCCGTATCCTAAAACTGGGAAATGATCCTTCCGGAAATCATGCAGATTCTTTTCATAAAGCTTAAACAGATCTTCAGTATACTGCCACAGATAGAGTAAATGTCTCCATTTTGCTGTCATCAGTCAGAGGGCCTCAAGAGATGGGAATTCCAGTTAGCTTGTCCCCTGTAGATTTTTATTTATTTATTTTCAACTTTAACATCCTCCCTTTCTTCTTGACCTTGAGTTCAAAAGTTTCACTTGATTCCGTTCATTTGGTCATTCTAGTTCAGAATCACTGTAGCAGGGAGGACAAGGAGGTGTGTGAATTGATTCTAGACACATTTCATATCATCAGTGACCACTTCAGACAAAACAAGCAAAGCCCCACTTCACCTAGGTGTAAAGTTCATATAATAGACTTCATACATATCCTTTCTGTTCCCCGACTACTCTTAAAATTCAGCTGCCACTCAGTTCATGCATTGTGCCTGACCTTGTCATTTTAATCTAACTGCAAAGTGAAAACAAATGGTTTTTTTTCTTTTTTGTTACGTATGTCCATTACATCTTACAAGAAGTATTTTAATAAGTTAAATAAAAATAATAAACAATTTCTTCCTGTTTTGACTACTGTCAGACCTTGGTAAGGGGGACAACATTCAACAGAATTGTTTTAATTATCCTACTAATATTCAACGTGCCATTTGATGGCATTGGTGAGCTCACCTGATGTACCACAGATAGCACTGATTTATGAAGCCATAATTGGGTTTCCAATAAACATTTGTCAAAATAATGTATTCATTCAAACCAAAGCCTTCTTTATTTATTCATATAAAAGAGCACTTAACTTTCAACAAAGAATTGCCTGCCATCAAAAACACTCCATAAATGGAGGAAATTTATGAAGACACAGTACCAGAGGGTGATTGGTGGAAGACTAAAGTTCACTTTAACCCTTCAGACTGCTGAGTTCCACTTCTTGCTTGTTACTGGTACTATATATATTTCTTTCTAAAAGCCCCAAGCCCAAATATTAAACTTTGTATATTTAGACATTAAAGTACCAGCTCTTTTTTCTACCATAGAGTCTTACATCTCAAAGACAGTTTCTAAACGAAGAGCTCTCATTTTTATTATGCAGTGTAGAAGCATGCACACAGTTCAAAGGTATCTGTTTTTAGGCTTACCTACATTCTGCCCACAGTTTTCACCGTATGTATCTTCTTCCAAAACAAGGTAAGCTTCGAGAGGTTAAACAACTTATCTTGTCTGAACCTGAGGCAATACATATACTTGTCATTCATTCCAGCTGAAGAATTTTCTTCTTTTACCTCTTTGTGCTCTTCTCTACTTTCTGGCACTTTAGTTTCATTTTACAGATTTTTAATAGAAGAATAGCAAAGTAGATGGGCTGTAAAACCAATATTTGAATGGAGTGCAGATAACCCCTTGGAATCTACCTTCACCAAAAACTTTTCTTCTTTTACCTCCAGTTAGCTAACATATAACAAATACAAGTCACACTGAAGATTCCCACTATCGGAGTCTTACATTCATTAGCTTAGTGAAATGTAGACCTTGGTGGGATAGGGAGTGATGCCTCAAGCTTACCTTAGTCTGCTGACACCTGTTGAAACTACAGACTGCACTGACCTTCCTATGATTGTATGTTGGTTTCCATATGTGTTTCTATTTTTAGCACACAGTTTTTATTTCTGACAGTGAACACAGCTGTAAATAATAGAGCAGAATGAGAAAGGATATGAAGGGTTTCAAGTGCACATTCATGCCTCAGAAACTCTAGTGTTATTTTACTAATCTCAATACAAAAACCTCATCATCATTATTGTTAGTTACTCACACTTTGTCCAGGCATCTAGGATGGCAATACTTAGAAGAATATATATCTGTTCCAAGTGGAATGCAACAAAAAGTTGGTAGTAAAGTTCTGTCATGCTTTGTCTGCTCAGCACTTATAAATGATCTTAAGTCTCTCTGATTAAGCACGGGTATTTTTTAATGGGAACCCACAAATATCTTGGAAAAGACATGATTACCTGTGTTGTTCTGTGGGGAGTAGGTCAACTGCTGAAAATCAAGGGCTAAACATCCCTGGACAGTTCCTGGCTGCTGTGAGAAAGTAAATGACAAAGCTACATTTTTGCAGGTCACTTGCAAAGATGAAGGTATGAAGATGGAGAGGAAGGCATAGCAGAAACAGTGGGAGCTGGTGTTTTTCAGCCATTTTCCACAGAGGATTCTCCACCCATCTGGTCAAACCTGAAGTGTGTTATACAGTAGTAGAGCAGAAAGGGACCTTAAACATAATTTTGTAGTTTGTCCTACAGCAGGACCACTGTGCTTGTGCCATTCCTGGCAGAAATTTTCTAACTGGCTCTGAAAAACACAATGTCCCAGGTAATCT